TAATTTGAAAAAAGATAATTTTCTCAGTTAAATTAATATTGCTTGTTTTTTTAAATATATTGTCTATATTTTCCAGATGCTGAACTAGAAGAATTTATAGTAAAGATTGTGCGTGCCACAAATAGAGGAATATCAGCTGTTAGAAATGTTACGAGCTCGAATCCAAATTGGAGCTTCGGACAGTCTATGTTTTTCGCCGGCACAGTCATTACCACCATAGGTAAGATAATTAAGTCCTCATCTAGACAAACGTAATAATGCTCTTTGAATTAAGCAAAAGTTTTTATTTGTCATTCACATTATGTTATAGCTTTTTAATGTTTTTGGTTCATATGGTAATATTTACATGTACCTTTTAGTATTTTATAAACAAAAAAAAAACAGGCATGAATTTGTACACGGATTAACACTCAAGTGTAGTGAGACTTTTAGCTTTTGTTTCTTTCCTGTAAACCATTCTTTTCTTGTTATTTTAGGATATGGTCGTGTAACACCATTGTCGGAAGCTGGAAAGGGTTTCTGTATATTATATGCTATCATCGGAATCCCTCTGACACTTATAATGTTTACAGCAATAGTTGAGCGTCTGATGATACCGACGGCTTGGTTTTTACAATTCATGTTTAGAAAACTAGGACATTTGTACAAAGTATTCCATATACAGCTTCTTCATTTGTCTATAATAATCATCCTAGTCATCGTTTTCTTCTACTTGATACCTGCCGCCATCTACGTCACAATAGAACCCAACTGGAACTATTTAGACGCCTTTTATTACTGCTTCATCTCCTTGACAACCGTTGGGTTGGGAGATTACATTCCGGGAGATTCTCCAGATCAACCTCTTCGTCCATTGTACAAAGTAGCCACGACATGTAAGTTTTCATATATTTTATTATCATTTTATAGTTTCATATCAGCGTGGCCAGTTTTTTAACCTTTAATTGTTACACAATTCTTACCAAATAATATTACATTTTCAGTTTGTTCTTTGATTAGTTAATTTTATATTCCTGCACATGATGAAAACTCTTAAAGATCCTGTTTGTCGTTATTGAGGTTGTATACCACACTCAAGTAAAATTATATATATGTATATAATCATGCTAATAAAACAATTTTCAAACATCGAAGAATATGTAAAATATGTACTACAAATATGTGTACATATTATATGTAATTATTAAAATATATGCATTCATTTCTTATTGAAAAAATTGACTTGGACTTTTTAGAAAATAAATTTTTTATTACCTCCCTTTATTGATATGAAATGTTAAATTCGGTAATATCTTTATGAACAATGCTTTTTGGAACTTACAAAATTGATAAATCTTAATTTGAGCATCATATTTATGATATAAACGCATAAGAAAAATGTGTTACAGGACCTTTAAATACGTTTGTCTCTTTCTCAACTTTGTATATAAATTTCTTTTTGTATCCTATTCAAGATAAAAAATTATGCTGATGTCACTGTCCATATCTCAAATAAATCGCGTCTTCTTGGTTTAAGGCTTAGTATAAAATATTTTCTGCCTAGACATTTAAGCTTGCATTCTTACGATTATGCACTTGAATTAAGTTTTGTAAGGCGTCCTTGGCTAAATTATGTATAGTACTTGAGTCTAGACATGCCTCTTAGAGGAATAACGATTACAGAATTAAGTATTGTTGGAGATAGAGAAATATACAATTTTAATTTGCTGTTATTGCAACTTATCTAAAGTAGGTGAAACAGAACAAAGTATCACAGCTGTCTTGCGAACTCAATTCTTAGTCACACGTGCCTCAAATTTATGGTTTACTTAAGAATTAATTGACAAACACCCTTCATAAATAAATAAAGCAATCTGTCTAATAAAAAAAAATCACGTTGGATCGTTCTTATACATTTCAGTTTATCTTTTCATTGGTCTCATGATGATGATGTTGATTCTCGCGGTACTCTACGAGATTCCGGAACTCAATATTGGGTTCCATTTCTATCTGAAAAGCGATACTGATGAGGACGAGCGAATGCGGTTACAGGCCTCTGCTGCGTCCGGCCAGAAATATTCCAAACAAATTGATGATGAACCAGCACCAGTATCAGAATATCAGGGTATTCCAAGTTTTCCCCGCCCGCAGGCGACTTATCAGTCAACGGATGGTGCTTTACAACAGTCACAATAATTTTAATATTTGTGTTCAGTCTCGTTTATAAAGGGGCCAATATTTATATCATTTTGTGAAAGCTTGCAATGAATTATTTGAAAAGCTTGTAGTTAAAAAACCTATTAATACAAGGACAGAAATGTTTTTAATGACATGTCTGCAAATGAGTGGCATGTATGTAGAAATATGAGTATGTTTTTATAATTTAATTATGTTTACATCTAGTCATAGCTATTCATTGAAATGTTTAGTGTATAAAAAGTAATGCGACATCATTAAGAAATAGTATGTGTTTTTCAAACCTTATATCTCGAAATTTTTCAAAATAGATCCAAAATGTAAAGGAACACGATACCTTTGACTAGAATTTCTTTGGAAAGGGAAAAAAGTGCAAACATTCATACAATGTGTTCAGAAAATATTATATGTAAATCACCTGAGCAAAGAAACGCTGAAAATGGAATGATTTGCCACAAAAGTAGCAAAACACTTAAACATAAAAAATAATTAATCACTATATTAACTGTACTGCTTGCAAAAGATAACAGAAGAAACAAAAGATGGTTCAGGTGATTTGCCAACAAGAATTTTTTCAGAAATTATAACAGGTTACGAAAAATAAAGCTTCTCAGATTAATAAAAGCATCTCTTAGGCAGTATGTGCCTTTAATTTGTAATGCTTTGAAAACTCATTACAAAATATCTTCAAAGGAAACCAATATACATTACAATGTAAACATATCATTTGCATTTATTTCAAATAGTGCAAGCTAAACATTATAGCAGAAAATGTTTACGTGTTTGCCTCCAAACGGGTAACTATTGTGAGACACAAACTTTACAATCTACAATGTTTTTAACATACCTTTACAATATGTAACTGTTTGAAAATATTAAAATTACTTTGGGATATATATTTAGTTGTAATCGTTCCGAATTTACAGTTAATTTATATGAACTTTATCTAATTCTTAAGTAAACTGCTAAATTGTTTAATATTTTAGTTATAATTGATGCTTTAAGATAAGAAATAAAAAATATATGTTTTTACTTTTTATGCTTGTGTTAGCTAGAATTTTATAACATTTTAGATATTCTTGATGTTAATGTTGAAATAGGAAGGTTTATAGTAATAACTTACTGGTTGTGACCTCGTTGTCTTTCTTTCAAATTGTTGATGTTTTCATGTTATTTTTGCAGTTATGATTTGTAACGAATCTAAATATAAACAAATATTATAAATCAATTAAATACATTGCATAAAGGGCATGTAGACTAACAATTAAGCATATTGGTTCTAGAAATACAAAATCTTTTAAATAGGTTCTTACCTCACTATTAAGGGATGATGAAAAATTGTACATAAACAACTATTTCACATGTCAGCCGCTTTCAGTATGTAATTTCTAAAAAACCCCTAATGAGCATAGAATATAATCAGAGTTTCTTCACGACATGTCTAAATAATATTTCTTTAATTTTAAAGTTTCTTTATGCCATGTTTTTGATATCCTTTAGTTTTGTTAATAGAGCGATATCTATTTATATAACAGATGTAACAAATTAAAAATAATACATAGCTTAGAAACACATCTAAAAGAATTGAATGAATTATGGAATAAACTTACTAGAAGCCTCCCTATTGAGTCAAGTTCAGATATTTCTCTTGCTGAGGTAATGTATTTCATGACTTTAATCTGTAAAAAAATCAAATGGCGCCAAAGAACACTTTTTAAAATAATAAAAAAAGATATGGAAATTGCTTATCAAGTTTGATATATGTACATATTTCCTATTTGTTGTATGTATTGTTATGGTCATAGATATTTATTGTTATTTACATTTGTTGGCATCTGCTTTGTTCTGTACTTTCTTATCTTACCTTAACATCTACTAACAATAAATTTCTTAAATGTCGCATTTGTTTTCTATTTTGTTGATCTGACGAAAAATGTTCATGTAACAGAGGAAAAGCAAGAATTTAATTTATCAACTGATCAGGTTGTTCAAGTGCTATGATTTCTAAACCAAAAGACTATATATTCGAACTCTAAATGGGCGAGACCATGTGTCAATGGAAGACGTCATGTGTGGTAAAATATGATAAACAAGATCAACAAGGAAAGGCGGCGTTCAATGAACGCAACCCCTATACGACCCAGCAACAAAAACCAGTGGCAAGGAGCCCAGGCGGACCCCAAACCAAAACAGGACAGGGCACAAGTCAGAGCACGGACAGGTTAATCACTAAAATGATAAATAAGTTGCAACTGATAAGGAATTCAAAGAGAAACAAATAAATGATTAATTAATATTGAATAAAAGGAAATACTTTGTAACCGAAAAGGAATTCAAAGAAAACGAATAAATGATTGAATTATAGGTCCATAAAGCCAAAGGGCACAGCGGAAGGGGACAGGAGGGCCGGGGAAGAGGAGGGAGGGGTTTAAATTAAAGAAATAAAAACTAGGGGCAAATGGGAAAATACTTACAATAGACGAGAAAACAACAAGGGACAAAAGCAAAAGTGTCACCAAACCAGTATGAAACAACATAAACATACATCTGAGGAACACAGAGGAGTGCCGCTTTGGAACGGTCAGCAGCACAAGTACTGCTGTGGAGTTTAAACCGATAAATGGTGCACCAAACCTCGCTCTTAGCCCCACCATGTTCCTATAAACGAGACAGTGCAAATAAGATGAATCCCCGCCAAGTGAAATTCTAACAGTTGTTATGGTTACAAAAGGTTAAATAAGTAAAACACCAAACTAATCATGTAGAAACATATAAAAGTAAACCCAATGACCATAACAAAAGTACTCAATGTCCTTAAGGAAGACAATCATCAAGAAATCACCTACAAGGGCCTGACGAAGCAATGCAGAAGACGAAAATAAGACAATTCAGTCCCAAAGGGCTTCAAGAACTGTCCATCATAGAGTCTCCCACTTGGTCCGTCAGATGTAATCAAAAGAGAAAAGCGTAGTGTCCAACTTTAAAAGGGTTGAACACTAAGCATGCAGTATATCTCAAAATAGTAGGGTCATAACCTCTTTTAATAAAACGTTTAATGATTTCAGTAAAAACAGCAGAAAAAATACCATGACCCAAAATCTTACAAAGTTTGAAAATCACATCTCCATAAACCAGACTGGTTAATCCCTTGTCGCAGAAGAGTTTTTAAATCACTATTGAATTTTGAAATTGAATCAAAATTACGATTGTAAATTTTGTAAAATATTTCCGTTTTTAGTATGGCTGTAGCCCTGTTTTAGAAGCTTGCTGGTAATGAAAATATTCCGCTCGTTTAAATCCTTTACGATGCTACAAGTTCTTGCGAATCTGATTTACTGAGAAACATACACCCCGTAGGATGTTGCATGCGGTACGTCTCCATCTAAATGTGTATAATTAACTATAGAAAAGTCAAAGTCATCTCTTTTATCATAGATTTTCGTGTGAATAGAATTGCTGTTGATAGTAATATGAAGATCCAATTTGAAAAATAATGTACTAAAATTTCAAGATTCGTTTTTTTAATTTTTGGTTAGTTTCATGAGGATAGAATGTAGACCACCAAATTTGGAATCCCAAAAAAAAAAGAATATCTAAAATTAAAAATAATCCATCAAGGGTATTGGTAGTTATTATTCAAATTGCGAACTATTAAACATCTTGTTTTTTTCAAATATAAAAAAGTCTTTTCATACAGTACAGCAGTACAAAAAAAAAATCCGGCGACATAAGTTTTCCTTCGGGATGTAAATTATTGAAACGTTTATTTCCAGAAATTGGATGAAAAAAAACCGTATAAACAATATACATATGAATAAATTCCAACTTACACCATCAACATTTACGTGAATCCCATGGGTAAAAAAAAAAATCCCAAAAAAAGGCTTAATAATCATAAATAATATCGGATAAAATTAATTGACAGAAAACCATTTGTGATTTAAATTATATGAAAACATTAAACGACAACTAATGAAACAATGGGTGGGTTGTTCCCCACTCACATATGGTGTTAATAAACATATAAAACATACTTTTTTAAGAGATTTTGTATGAGTTTTACTTATTTGATTTTGTGATAGGGGAAATGAACTGAGAAATAGAATATATGCGGTACAGTCTGGGTGGGCCCTGCAGTTTAATACGCTAAAAACAAATGAAAAGCAAATTTTAAACAAACTATAAACTGGTCGTGATGGATAGGTAATTTAACTTAGTAAAACCCCAAATCAACGTTCTGCCATCACAATAGAATAAGTGATAGGGAAATGGTAATTTGTGTCCTGGACTGTTAATAGTGTAAGCAACTATTTAGACAATTTTATAGATGTCTGTTACGATTATATAAGTTCGATATTATCGGACAAAAATGTGGATAAGAAAATTAAACAAACAGGGATTCAAATAATCTGCATTTCTTAGCTGAACAGGAAGTGTTATATTATTTACAATATGAATACATGTTTGCATATATATCTTCATTGAACTGATTAAAGTCTACTCCCTTATTCTATCGTTTATTTATATTTTACCACTTCCCTGACCTCATCAATCCCTTGAAAACTCAGATTTTCATCGTATAAATATTCATTCGCACTTTTAACGGAAATGTTTTAATTATATAAAATTGTTTTTGTTTCATGTGTTTGGTAACAAATGTTCTTAAGGTCGACCCTTCTCCAGATTTTTGTAGTAACTGATTGTGTTTAAGATTAATACAAAAAATCCGATGCTTTAAAGCGTGGGAGATGAAACACCGTTACCTCACATGAACACACTGGAACAAACCGAGTCAACAATGTTCACTTTCAAACATTGTTTATGACTATTTTTAAGGAATCGTCTTACTCTTTTTCCAGATATTGTACATGTACATGTAAATGATAGTTAACTTCTAGAAAGGCGTAGCATATTACATAATTTACGAACGAGTACAGTTTTCACTCTAGAAACAATCATTGATTTAACTATCATGGTATTCCCGATTTGGCATTTAGCTATTTCAATATATAAACATCGCTGGTTTCTTGAATCTATTTATCCGCCTCATCGATAAAAATGTAATTAATATGCATTAAATAAATGTAACGAGAATAACATCTCAATAATGAAATGCAAATTTCGTCCCAAGAGATATACATTCTGATATCTGATGTGACATAACTGTACATAAGAATAAAAAAGTAGAACTA